CTAATCTTTATTTATTGCTGAATGTCAAATTTGACCTAAATTCTTCTGTAACACTGGTAGGTTAATCCGTTCAACTTTGGCCGCTCACATTCCCACCTCAGAGAGCAGAGTAGAGGAGCTGTGCTGGGAGAAGCAGACAAATGCACTTAAATAGATGTGGTAATCGACTCCACTTGGAAACTATTTAAGAAATGTGCAGCAGATCCCAGACCAGGCGGTTTTGTCCTCTCTGTAAATTTTCCTCCTAGTTTGTTAGCCAGCATGATAATAATGAGCCAGTGTCACAGAGAATGGCAGTCCTTTAACACGAAGACTTCATATGGACGTACAGAATTTTACAATTTACAAAAATACCCTATTTCTAAAAGATGGTATACATTTAAATACTGGAAATAAACACGTAATCCTGAAGTACTTCAATGATATTTGTCAGGCTAAAGGACAAAGTCCACGTCTGTTTAATTCATTTTATTGTGTCTTCTACAGTACTACTTAATCCTCCTCTAGTTCATGGGTGGAGCTGGAGCCAATCCTAACCAGCCTTTTAGCAAAGTGATGCCTGGTTCGAGTCCCTCTGGTAACCCGTGGTGTTTCTTTGACGTTCGTATGTTCTCTCTTTATGTGTGTGTGCTGCACAGATGTGTGTCTTCTTTGTGTATTTTAATGATGTTTTAATCACATTTTATCTGATGAAAATTTGAACTTTTTTTTGTAATTTTAGATCAAGCTACTTCTCTGGGAAGTTGAAAACAACAATCTCTAACAGTAAACACTGTAACTTGGACGTGTCTGTGACTTCTCTCTCTGTGCAGGAAACACCTTGGGTAAGTCTTGTGAAAATGTGATGATGCTGCAACATCTGTTTGAAACCCTGATTACCTCAGACCTAGAGAACAAACAGACGACACAGCTGCAGGGAAGTTGTTTCTGCACAGTCATGCAAGTCTGTAAAAGTGTTGTGGTGTAAGAATCCGAGATGACGAGGAAAATCAGACCGAGACACTGCAGTTCTTACAAGGAAAGGGTTAAGGAGTATTTTCTTTTTCTTTTTTCTTCTTCTCTCCCCTTCATCAAATGATTTTGTGTCAAATAACAATGAAATTGAAGAAAGAGGAAACGTCGTTCTTTGTAACTGTGATGCCACCCAGTGGCCACAAGAGGACACAACCGCCACTTAGAATGGAAAGAAAGTGGTCAATATGTCAGGAACAGTACATTTTACGATTGATGAGATTAATCGTCTACTGCAGTAGAATATACTACACTAAAGGTGGCACTGGGAGTTCAACAGACCTAGAGGTCAAAGGTCAAGCGAGTTTAAAGAGTTATTATAAACAGATTCATTTCTATAATTTCCATCCATCCATCCATCCATTTTTATCCGCTTATCCGTTACCAGGTCGCGGGGATTTCTATAATTTCTGACAAAAAACCCAGAATGATCCTAAAGTTACACAAAATAATAAGATAGTTTGTCATTGTTACAGTTCATAGGAAAATCGAATTTAATCAAAATCTACAGTATTCCTGGTTCCTGAAGATTAATACAAGTTAAGTCCCCACTAGTACTAGTTAGAGTTCATACAGAACAGTTTTAGTCCAGTCTCCAGGGTTTCAAGACAAAGTCTGAGTCACAAAAACATTCACGTTGTTCCACGTCAGATGTTTATTCAGACTGAGAGACACAGAAAGGAGATCTGGATCAAACCCGAGATTCAGATTCATATCGTTTTCATTGTTGAGTCACTGATTTGAAGTTTAGACTAAGTCTCAATCTCAAGTATTAGTCCAAGTCACCGAAGAAGTACTTGGAGTTAAGGATTCTCAAACAAAATTTTATTTTAGTCCAGCAGGAAAACTTTAGGTAGAAGTTGGGTTTTTTTTGTTTTTTTGTCTAACCCAGTGTTTACCACTATAAATATGGAATAACAATGTACAGTAAAATATGGAATAATATAAAGTATCACTGTTGTTTGTCTCTCTGCTGAACTCAGTTCTGGAGACTGTAAACTCAAATACGTGTGTAGGTGTACTGTATTAGTAGGAGGACTCAGGATTGTGTACGTGTGTTTTCACATTTGTCAACAAGAATACTTCAACAACCGCTCATAGTTATGTTGACACGAGTAAATGAGTGTGTGTGTGTGTGTGTGTTTCTCTCTCCTGTTCAACCCAGCAACGGGCATTGTTATTGAACCACTTCAATTCTGTGTGGAAGTGTGAGGTGTGTGAGCCCGGGGTGAGGTCAAGTGTGAACTGATGGATAAGGGAGGAGAGAGAGCGAGCAGAGAGAGAGGGAGAGAGTGTTTTGAGTCTGTCAGAGTCTGGTGGCTGTGGGAGGAGGGAGAACTGCGGCTCATTCAGCTTCTCTCCGTCTGATGTGATGTGTGATGCTGACCTGAGGATCAGTATCTCACAGAGATGTCGGAGTATCACTGTCATCTCCAACATTAGTGGAGGGTGCTGTGATGGGGACGGTCAGTGAGCTGTGTGTTTCCAGTCTACAGGCATTTTTCTGTCCTTCAGAACAGCCTTCAGCAGCCACAGGTGAGTGCAGTCGTCTTCCTACTTGTTTGTTGTTTTGTTTTTTTGTCAAGTTGTTTATAGGATTTTTCTTTGTGCATTCTTCATTTTGCAGTAATACAATATTTTACCTCAAACCATATTGCTAGGATACATTTATTGAAATTGAATATATTTTAAACTTGAATAGTAAAAAAAAAAAGATTCCTCGTTTACGTCTGTGTCACCTCTGTCTCATGTTGACTCCAGCTTACTTCTTTATTAAACAAAAACAATTGAAACATGTATTTTACTGTGTCAGGTACAGGTATTTTGCAGATGGACCATTTAGTACAAATACAATCTATACATTGTTTTGTTGCACTTGAGTTCAGAACCAGGTCTCAGCTCTAAGGTTGATACATTTGGCCTTGTTGACAGACTACTGTGAGTTTCAGGTATGATGTGTTGTTCATCAGATCAGATAAAAAACACCACATCATGATGATGATCAGATGATTGTTAGTGTTTGACCAAAATGGTTCACCATTCAGGTATTCTCCATGTATGGGCTGTCCTCTGTAGCTAAGTCACGTATGCTAACACCAAGCACTTTTTGTCACGTTGTAAAAAGTATTAGACTATACACAAAAATGTAGTTTCACTTTTAGGATATTTTGGATTTACAAATAATTGCATGCTATTTTTAGCATCATTTACAGTGTTTAACTAACACACAGTTACAATCCTTAAGCATCTGTTTTATCTATAATCCAAGCTGTGTTACTATTGATCTGTAAGTTTGTACATAAACCCATGAAAACATATTTATACCAGCAGGCCAAACACATGGGAGGTGTGTGTGCTTTTCACACCTAATCTAGAGATTATATATATAGAATATTCACACAAGTTACAGTAAATGGCTCTGCTACTTTAAATAAAACATAAAGTGGTAGGCAGCGTTTCTGTGTAAAAGAAGTTAGACCAGTGTGTGTTGAAGTCACTGCTGTTGCCAAAGAGACCTTTAAAAGGAGACAGTGAGGGCTGAAGATAAAAATTAAAGCCCCTTAAAAAAGAATTACCTCTGATGTCGAGTGCTCCTGGCTCTGTTTGTTCACACCACAGGTCTATGATGGGATTGTGCTGTCTTGGCTCTGCTCATAATTGTCTATACTTGTACTAAATGACAGGTGAACACACTGAAATGCAGAGAGCAACACTGGCACCAAGAGTTGCCAGTGTTCAGTTGCCTTGGTGATTTGTGGATACAGTGCATGTGTGTGCGCACCACACTGTGTTTTTGACATTTCTGTGGCCATGTACACACATGAGTCACACACGCTTAGGATGGTGTGGTTGTGGGAGATGTAAGGCTTTATTTTTTTATAAATATGTAAATTTATATTTATCATCATCATCATCACCACCACAATCATCATTATCATCACCATCATCATCACCATCGTCATCACCATCATCATCATCATCATCATCATCATCACCACCACCATCACCATCATCATCATCATCATCATCATCACCGTCATCACCATCATCATCATCACCATCATCATCATCATCCTCATCATCATCATCATCATCATCATCACCACCACAATCATCATTATCATCACCATCATCATCACCATCGTCATCACCATCATCATCATCACCATCATCATCATCTCCGTCATCATCATCCTCTGCTCCAGGATGCTCCTCTACAGTGACATCATCTCCATCACGGCCCACTCTGCTGCCTGTTTGCAGTTGCTCTTATACTGTAATTCACACTGTTCTTATTCATGAGCCAGTGTCATACTGCGAGAGCCCTAACACTCATGGGAGTTTTTTCTTCTTTAGCTTTCACAGTTCTCACCACTTTCCATCTGTGTCTGGAGTTTCCCTGCTCTCCCATGTCATTTCCACTGCTTTCTTCTTCTTCTTCTTCTTCTTTATTATTGTGCCTCTAGGCCTTTGCAGCAGTGTCATGTTTTTCACTCATGAACCCTTTTAACATCAGAGTGGTGTAGACACCAGCTTCCTGTTACTTTGTGAAACTGCTCCACAGTCAACAGTGCAAACTTTGAAATCCTTGGTCTGTGTTGATGTTCAAAATGATTTGTGCAGACAGCTGTGGGATTCTACTGCCTTCTGACCCTGTGCTGCACATTCAAATATATTTGGGAGATTTTAACTCTAACTTAAAGAGTACAAATCAGCTAGTACGAGTGTGTGCTTTTACAGGAAGTGACCCTGGTACACCAATAAATACAGTTTACTGACCATCTTCATTTTTGCTACCATCCACAAAACAAAAATAAAAAACGCCTACACGGAGATTATGACAAAGTGAAGAAGACCAATAATGTCTTGCAAAGCAATAATGCATTGTGTTTAAATGTGATTTAAGTGCTTTAGCTGTCCAACTGCAGCAGCTCCTCCACTGCCTCAGCCTGATTATATCCTGTTTTTGGTGTGTCCAGCGTCCGAATAAAGCACTGATTCAAGCACACAGCTGCAATCCTTTGGCCTCTCCTTCCCTCTGCCCTTCCTCTCTTCTTCCTTCCAAGCCATCCATCTCTGATATTAGACCTGCTTCCTCCGTCCCCACACCCACCAGGATAAACATGTCTCTCCCAGTTCAACAGGTGGAGGATATTATTTCAGTCCGCTCATTTTCACTTCATGTTTTATTGTGTGTCCTCTTCCTGTTTGACTGGAGACAAACTGATGGTGTTGCCAATTGTCAGGGTGGAGTGGCAGTAAAGCTGAAGAATGTGCCTTGGTCAAAACACACTGAAACACAATCAGCCCATTGACTAAAATTGTTTTGTTCCACAGTGTTAGAAGTGCAATCAAAATGCTCCAAATGAAGGAATTTATTACTATTGTTCAATAGAAAATGTTTGATCATCACAGCCCTCTCAAATGTTACACCTACTAGAAATTGAGTTTATAATCTTTTTAATCACAATATTGTTCTATTTTTTTTATCATTTAGGTCTGTCGTATTCTCTGATATTTTTATTCATACTCTTTAATCCACTCACACAACTACCATCATCTTTTTCACAGCAGGACATTTGCATTCTCTCATTTCCTGTGCCACTGACTGGTACAAAGCAAAATGTTTCCATATTCTTTTTTTAGATGATAGCATGTGTGATCGCATGAGTGATTGTAAAGGGTAATGCCAGTTATTTTATTAGAAAATTAATTTTAAAATGTTAATAACTTTACTAAAACTTCAAAATTGTAATTCTTTCTTGAATAGTTTGAATATTTCAAACCAAGGCTAATTTATTTTAGCCTCCAACCCCAGAGGCCCCTTAAATCATTTGCCCCTTTTTTTGTCCCTGACCTCCCACCCATGTTGCTGGGTTGGCAATTGTGTTGGGTGCATATTGTCTTTATAATGAAAAAAGTCAAGGACATAGCCTAGAAAATACAATACGTGTTTATTTTTCTGTGTACACATGAAGCAAATGCATAGACGTAATTTTTTTGTCTTTAGTTTTCCTACTGTTGCCAGTTTTGTTCTTCTTTTGTTAACTTCTACATTTCACTTCAGGTCTTAACAAGTGTAAACATATTATTTTATACATCCATCTTCTGCTTTTTGATCGTCAACAGATATATTGTACTGTAATATCTAAACAGAAGGTGACAGCTCAAGTGTTAAATTAGTTGTGGGTTTTCAGAAAACACAAATGACTGACTTAAGCTAAAACTGAATTTACAGGACTGTTCAAATAATAATTCACATTTCAATATTAGTATGAATAATATTTTTTCAGCAATTGCCTCAGTGTGTTATCAACAAGTTCAATTTAATCTAATATTGATCGTTTTAGTTTGAAGAAATTATTTTGTTTTGTACAGTAAAGCAAGCTTAAAAATAAAGCTGTCATGTTCGGATATAATTTTACTGCACGAGCCAACAACTTTGACTTTGAGACAGATATGTAAATATGGGTGTTCTTATCAGTTTACTGATTGGCTGTATCACATAAAGCCACGCCCACACCATCATCCCCTAGCACCGGCTGTTTCTCTGTCTGCGTGAACAGTTGTCATTAAGCTCCAGTGTATCGGCGACAGATTGACAAAATATTCAGTTATAAAGAAGGCTTTAAAGTCACTTTTACATTTTAACATCACGGTCTTCTCTGAGACAGCTGTACAGAGATGGTTTTGAAGTCTGAAGACGGCGTTGGTAAGTTTTGTTGACCCGTTGCAGTTAATACGGGCTAGGTAGAAAAAGCTAACCAGTTAACGTAACTTCATCTACAGGCAGCTAACGCAATTCAGCACAAAGAAGAAACATATTTATATGTAGCTGCTAGTCGAATGGGCTTTTAGACGTAAATGTGTGAACGGCAACATGTCGTGCTCCGACTAATTTGTTAACACACTCTTTATGAACTGACACAACGGAGCCTTTCTTAATAATCTGGGTTAAAGCCAGACCTCATGGAGATTTGTGCCGGTTGAACAGTGCTGCGTGGTTCATGGGTCTATAAATACAGTCAGTGCGATTTTTTTTTATTGGCGACGAAAAAGAAGTTGCCCTCAAAAATATTTCGGCTCATTTAAAAATGGAGAGAAGTTACAGTAGGTCATCTTCCTCACAGCTGTGTTGTTTTCCCCTCTCACGGTTTCACCCACCTCTTACAGGATGTGACTTTTAAATATATTATCTCCAAAGTGAAATGTTCCAGTACAAGTGCCTGCAGTATGATACAGTTATGACCAAACAGTTACTCTAAATGGGATGGTGTGGCACAGAGACAAGATCTGCATTCATCTAGGGTTCACTGAGACCTGGATATGACATATAAAATTCAAATCTGAACAATGACTTGTCATTTCATTTGAAAAACTGTTTAATGATATTGACTAAATCTCTCTTTTGTCCACATGCCAGAAAAAATTCAAAATTCACCAATTGACTTGAAGTGTTCACTTTTTGAGCTTTTTTTTCTTTGTAGCCACTGATTTAACTCTTCTTTCCAATGACCTATCTGAGCTTCTCAGTAACATTGACTTCAGAAAAGTGTGGCATTTGTTGGGCTGACAAAGCACAGTTGGTCTGTGAGTTTCTTCCTTATTTATGCCCAGAACCAACCACACCGCTGATACTTTTTTCTCCACTTCCCTGAGTGGGTGGTTCATTGTTATTTTTTGCTCTGACAGATTATAACATACTTAAACAGATAACAGTACTTAACTGTGTTTCTCTGTATATTGTGTTCAGCCCAGTTCATCCTCTGCAGCTGGGTTTGTCATTCGAGCCTTGTGGCTTTGTGATTGCGATCAGTCACAGGGAGTTTACCATAACCACAGGGTTATATCACTCTGTCATCCTGCAGGCCAGAGAACATACAGTAGAAACACACAATTATAACCCTTGTTCCCTCCGAAGTGGACTATTATTGCCTTGTGAATGGCGCCAGGCACTGTAACAGAAATATTTACAAGTACAGATCATCTGCCGGTCACATCCAAACAGCTTTGCCTTGGGTTGTAAGAAAGACCACAGTCCTTCCTGGCGTTAATGTGAGTTCATTCAGAAACATACGTAACTAACAGAGAAGGCTAATTGGGTTGTTTGTTTGATTACTCTAACTCTTAATGGAGGGAGGGGTCGAGATGGACAGATATAGGTGGTGGCGAGGGTGGGTGGGGGAGAGGTCGAGAGTTTCCCCTTCACTGATAGACACTCACAGACACACTGGTCCTCATCGTCATTTAGCAGCCTGTCGGCTCCTCTCCTTGCTACTCTTTGAAAAGAGTGCCTGAGGATTAAAGTGGCAACAAGGTTGGAGACTGGAGGACCCCGGTGCTGGGAGTGGGACACCAAGATCTGACAGCACAGGATTAGAACTTATGGAGCTTCAGGCTGATTCACTCTGAAGCTGGTGACTTGTGTTAGCTCTGTGGATACCAAGGAGCTGCAGTGAGAAGCTTGACCTCTAAAACAATCACGAGCTGGCATACTTTAGGTGGAGCTGTTTTTTGTGGTATGATCGTCAAGATAATGACAGAAAGGTGTAGGCGGTGAGTGCGTCATCATCACTGCTTATGCAAAAGAGCCTTTTTGCACAAAGTTCTCTGAATGAGTGTGTGTGCGTGTGCCGTGCCTTGTACTGAAACTTCATGAGAAGCTGGAAAGTTAGACTGTGTGGCCATTAACTGCTGATTGACTAATGTGGTTAGATTTCTTTTCCATTACATCCTCAAAGGCGGTGATGTTGTGTTGTAGATTAGCGTAACCAGACAGTTACAGTAAAGTTCAGCTGCAGCACTACTGTGGCAGGGTGTCAACTTACATACACAGACAAACACATACATTCGCTGACCTCAGAAGTATGCACAGCAGCTGTTTGACTATGAGGACTTTTGTTTTTCATTAAAAAGACATGTTTTTTTTTATAAAAAAAGACAAGAAATAACAGTGTTTGTTAGTGAAAAGCTACAGGGAGAGGACAGCAGGTTTCACATCTGCTGACAATTGTGTGTTATTCCTGTCCTTACGATAATAATAGGAGGTACTGTGGCCTACATAGGGCTTTCTCTCTGGGCAAGTGGTGTGAATGGGTCACCGTCGGTGTGTTTCTAGTTTGTCACATGAGTATCCAAAGATGTAGCACCTGTGATTCTTTTTTCTGAAACGGACTTGTGTTAGTTCACTACAACTCATCCGTGATAATTCTCTTGTTTTCTCTGTATTCCTCCAGATGGAAATTGGAACAACCTTGCTCACAGCATTACTCATTCTTAAAATAGTCTTGGGTTATATGCAACCCAAAGAACCTGTGGGGTGCCTGTGTGGATGCTTTAGTGCATCATGCACTGGCAAAGTAGCAAAACTTTAAACATACTTCAAAACTGGCGTTGAAGTACTCCCTGAGGACTGAAGTGAAAGTTTCTAACTATAACTGCCTGGATTTTCTGTGCAGCCTTTTTTTCCAGTGGTTGACGTGAGTGACTTGGTCATGGTGGTAGGAGAGCAGTTCACATGAGTCCCTCAGCGTGACTCCACTAATGAGGCCACAACACAGCAGCTGCCCAGCCCAGCTTGACTTGTTCTCTGTGAATTGGTTGAAACTATTCAGTTGTGCCTCATTTGTCCAGTACAACATTTTACATTGTTCCAGGAGGAGACATTACAACAGACTTTATTTCACAGTGGAGGTGTCAGGTAGTAGTCACAGCTGACATTGCAGAGGGGTGGTGTGTGATAATAATTAGTCACAGAATGTCAAAATGGCAGTTTAGCCTCCTCATTTTTCACAATCTTATTTGTTATCATTCCCTTTATTTCCTTTTTTATTTTTACTGTTTTCATAAGAAAAGCCATATACTGTCAGATATACCAACTGTACATTTTCCTCCTCTGCTTATCATGCCTCGGCAGATATGCGTGTGTGGGCACATGAACTTCTGTTCTATCACAAAACACGCTTGGTCGTGACAGTTTGGTTTGAAGGGTGGAACTTCACTAGTTTGGAGTGAGATATCAAACATATTCTAATACAGGCTGCAGTTTTCATACCAAACCGGTCAATGAACGGGTTTGATGTGACCAGTTAATTTACTGGTATAACTTCATAACCTTACCCAGTTATTCACAGAAGCTGTGATGTGTTTCCATAGAGACCCTGGTGTGTGGATGTGTGTGTTTTGGCCTCTGTGATTTTATCTGAGACATATGTGTCCTTCTCCTTTGCGTCCTCAGTGCCTGATGACCTGACTCCAGAGGAGAGACAGGAGCTGGAGAGCATCCGCCGCAGAAAACAAGAGCTGCTGCAGGACATACAAGTAAGATCTATAAATCTGTCATCTACATGTGTCCTAGAACAGTGCCTCCCAACCTTGTTTGAGCCATGGCACATATATATATCATTAGGAAAAACCCCACGGCACACCACCAAACAGAAATCTCACAAAAAGTGCATGTAATGAAATATAATAATCTTCTAGTTTAAATGAGCTCATAACTGACTAAAATCTCAGCTTGTTTAGTTGAAGACAATTCTGATATACTGGCATTTTTGAATTGAAATTGAATTGAAAAAAGACTTGAATTGAAAAAAGACAAGGAAAGAAGAGGATTCAATTGTTCTGCCTTTCATGCTTTGATGAGCAAAAAGTATTATATGCAAAAAAAAAAAAAAAAAAAGGTTTTCAGCCCAATAAGTGACATTGGATCATTTCCCACGGCACACTCTGACGGCAGTGGTTGGGAATCACTGTCCTAGAAACATGTCCAGAATCTGTGTGAGGGTGAGAGGATTTGACCAAAGTGGACTCTACCTGACTGAAGTCTCTTTTAAACACGAAGGGGAATCAGTATGTTAACCTTAAATTGTGAAAACTGAAGTTCTACAAACAAAACCTGTTGAATTCTTTCAGGGTTTAACTTGTACTCATGGTGTACTCGCTGGTACACCACACTGTTCCAACAGCACAGCAGTCAAAGGATTCATGATCCCTGTGGTTATAAACAGAGCTATCTAAAGGCTGTAGTGGCAGCAGCCACTTAGGAGCATAGGCAATCAATTCTGCCATGGCTACTTATGGTTACTTTTTTAGGCAACAGAAAAAGAAAAAAAAATCTTTGTCACCACTTTCCTAGTAATTTGTGCAGTTTTTGTGTGAAAAATGTTATTTTTTTATTTTTTTTTAGAGTTATCTGTAAGGTGGCAATTTATTTATTTAACACACACATACATTGTATGTCATTACATTTGCCACAGAGCCATCTACAGTGTATAACACCATCTTCCAGTTTACTGCATATGTACTGACCTAATTATTTGTTGATTTATTTTAGGTGGACTTAAATGATCTCTTTATGGAGTCTGGGGTTTTTTTGTCAGTTAAACCACAGAAAACAACCAGATCTCACAGGAAAACACACAGAAGCTGAGAAGCCATTGTTTCCTGCGATTGTTCAGGCTTTCTTTTCTTTCCTTTGTCTTATTGTACAGACTGTTTCCCTCTCTGTCTGGACCAGTTGCTTTTAGTTTAACTGTGTGTGTGTGTGTGTGTGTGTGTGTGTGTTATAAGACAGTTGGGTTGTAAATAGTTTGAGCACAGAAGTAATACCATACTCCTAGGAGACGGATAATTCCATTCTGTGTCGGGGTGCATATATATTTATCTACAGTTTACTGTATAAGTGTGTCCTGCAGCTGTCTCAGTTTGAGTGGACAGGGGAGTCCCCCCCTCAGTTTACCCCACGGAGCTTCACTGAGCTTAGTCACAACATGGTGTTATTATTGATTTGTTTTGGTTTTTTTCTCCCATCAAGATGTTTGTTCACCACAACAAAAGGGTAAAGCTGAGTCAGTGGACAGTGGACGTATAACAGGATTTACTCATTTTACTTTCTCTTGTACACACTGAGTATTTTCATACATTCCGAACAGACACAAAAACAATCAAAAACCTTACTCCAGGGAGGAAATGTGCCAACGTAGATTGACAGGGTGTACTGGTGGACATGACTCTGGTTCAGGGTTTTTTTCCCCCCTCCTTAATCCCCGTCCTTATCTTACTCAGCGGGCCAAATGGGTAATGAACCGTGAATTATTCCAGTAATGGATCCAGTATTTATGTGAAGTTGTTACCATGGAAATGAGATTCAGACTGAAACCCAGGCAGTTGTTTCTTATTTTTCTTTGGTGATGATAGGATACATGGTGTTCTCCACCTGCTGTTTTACATGTATGGATAAATGGAAACAGCTCAGCTGAAACAGAACAACAACAGAGACGCCAGGCTAAACCATATGAATATAAACAAGAAGAGAACCTATATTCTCCTAGAAACAAAACACTTTTTCATATGCTCACATGCTTCCAATCAGTGTCTGTTTCTCAGGACAGTGTAAGTGTGTGTTGGGGATTGTCGTGCTGAAAGAATGACTTATGGCATAGAGGGGACAGTTAGCTGCATTAGTTTCAATTGGTTGCAGAGCCTCCCTTGTGCTCTTCTGAAGATTCCAAGCAGGTTAGTGGCTTATTAATTCATTTATTTTGCCAAACCTCCTCCTGACAAACTGATAGTAATATATATTAGGCATAAAAATCTAATTTGGACTGTCACTCCTTAAGATCCAACAGAGCATCAGTTTTATTACACGGGTTGCATGAGAACTGTTCACCATTTGTTGCATTTGGGTAGAACGTTAAAAGACAAGATGCCAAGGTCTGAGTCATACCACTGTTTATGATCATAACTCTCATGTGGAACAGCTGCTTTGTCTACTTCTGTCTCTCTTTTATTTCTTCCATAGACCATCATCTTTTCTGCTGGACTTGTCTTTTACATCTGTTTTAGACTTTTTCTCCTTTCCTACCTCTAAAACCTTGGCCTGGGATCATCTGAGCTCAGCTGGTCCAATTCTTTGATCCTATTCCCGAATATCTCTCATACAGACAGGGTAGGGCGCCAGAGGGGAGAAGACTGATGAATGTAGGTCAGCAGAGGAGAGTAAAGTCAGTAGAAGTGGTGAGAGAGGGGTAGACGAGAAGGGTGGTCAACTCTGACCCCAGAACAGGTGCTGAAGGCCGCTCCACATAAGAGCTGGACTGAGTGAGAGTGTGATCAGGCTGCTGCTGAGTTCCCCTGGTTCATTTCATCCCATCTGATTGATTCTTAATAATAATAATACAAAGCTTCTTCAGTCACTATTTATACTTGGCATCTTCAAAGCTAGAATCAGACTTCACACTAATATCACTCATGTCTCTGTTAGCTATACTTTCTATTTGATCCCTCTCCTCATTTAGCTCCTCTTTGTCTGTTGCAGAGACTGAAGGATGAGATAGCAGAGGTGACCAATGAGATTGAAAACCTGGGCCTTTCTGAAGAGAGGTAAAGTGTCTCTTGATAATCATGTCTGTTTATATTCTGTGTAGGAGGCTGCAATCCACTGATTTGAAAGCTGGGACACTGACCAAATGACAAATCTGCTGGCTGAGGAATATCTGTGCCAGTTTAATTCCCTGTGGGAATAAGGACTGCAGTCCAACATTTGTTTTTCATTAACATGTAATCTGTGCATTCTGCTGTCTGGACAAATTAGCATTCTGTCTGATCTGTAATCTTTTAGGGCAAAGGCATTGATGAAGTCTGTCAGCAAAATCATGTCCTGAGGTTCATTGACAAATATTAACTCTTTATTAGGACTGTATCGTCTTCATTCCAATTACTGATGAAGCTCATCATTTTGTATACATTTAATTTTTGACTGATAAATTGATCAAATATTCCAATCAGTATTCAAGATCGTTGATGACATGACCACCACAGGAGTGGTAAGACAGCAGTCGATGAGGATTTCTTTTTGCTTCTGGTTTCCAGGAAAAGCATGCAGAGGAATAAACAGATGGCCATGGGCCGAAAAAAGTTCAATATGGATCCAAAGAAGGTGAAGGAGTTTATTGTTGAATTTTATTGTTGATATTGTTGTTTATTTCAACATCATGCCAAAGTCTGTTCAACATTCAACATTCCTTTATTCAATTTTGTATTTTTTATGACATTAACACGTTGTTGTTTTGTTTGTCCTCGAAGGGAATTCGATTTTTGGTGGACAGTGCACTACTGAAAAACACCAGTGATGACATTGCCAAGTTTCTCTACAAGGGGGAGGGGCTTAATAAAACGGCCATTGGGGACTACCTGGGGGAGAGGTCAGAGGTTATCTTGTTTTGATAAATACTGTACTGAAGTATAAAGATTAATTAGTTTTTAAAAATAATAAACAATATTTTGTGTTTGATAGAAATGAAAATACCTTCACATGTGTAGGGATTAACACCACATTAGTATTATTATCAGTAGTAGTCTGGAATCATGGCAATTTAACTGATTATCCAACATTCTGTTATCATCTGAATTTTCTAATTTAATTCATCTGTAGCAGCTGCGGACTGAATGAACCAAAACGAGCTGTGTCCTCTTTTTCTGTTTACTTCTCCCTCCTCCTTTATGTCCTTCTTTTTGGGTGGGGCTCTTTTTTTTCACTCCTTTGTGCAGAGATGACTTCAACATCGAGGTCTTACACGCCTTTCTGGAGTTGCATGAGTTCACAGACCTGAACCTGGTTCAGGCCCTTCGACAGTTCCTTTGGAGCTTCAGGCTGCCGGGCGAAGCTCAGAAGATCGACCGAATGATGGAGGCCTTCGCCCAGCGGTACTGTCACTGTAACCCAGGAGTGTTTCAGAGCACAGGTACAGGAGAGTGTGCTGGATCCAGAGGAAATGAGAAATTTTATGCAAGTACAGAAATGATAAAAGTCTGTTAAATTAAGGAAAGGTACCATTACTTTATAAACATGTGTACTTTATTCTAGCACCTTTGACTTTGAATACTTTGTATACTTCTGTTGTATTACAACTAACTCTTTCAATAATATTATTAGTGTTAACACTATTTTAGGAAAACTAAAATGCCAGAAATTGCTTCACAATTCGAAGTACTTTTCTTCCTAAAATTTGCGTCGCTTCTCAGCCTTTTGGCTAAGATCAATTGTTGTATCTGCTTTTATGTGGTTCCATAGTGTAGCGGTTAGCACACCTGCCTCATATGCAAGGCTGCTGTAAAGCCATTCTTCCAGACTGTAGCAACTGAAACCTAAATCCATTTGTTCTTTTTCTCTGGGCACAGATTGGATTTCTAGTTTTTTTTTAAAGTTTTTGTCACATCTTTTGACAGATACCTGTTACGTGTTGTCGTTCGCCGTGATCATGTTGAACACAAGTCTCCATAACCCAAACGTGAAGGATAAGCCCTCTGTACAGAGATTCACAGCCATGAACAGAGGAATCAATGACGGAGGAGACCTGCCAGAGGATCTGCTCAGGGTGAGATATAACTCTCATACTCTTTTCCATCCTTCGTCTTCACCTAATATCATTTTATTGATGCTGTTGTCATCTTTACCCTTTTTAGAACCTGTATGAAAGCATCAAGAATGAGCCATTTAAGATCCCAGAGGATGATGGGAACGACCTCACACACACTTTCTTTAATCCAGACAGAGAGGGATGGCTCCTGAAACTTGGTGTGTACATCAATACTGACTGTTTGAACACCATCCATTTAGTTAGACCGCCCTCTGGTGGACCCAAGTTGTATGAACAATCTGATGAAAAATTAATAATGATAATGTGATTTTGGTGCAGTAAACGTGTGCTGACAATCTTTTTTTGTTTGTTTTTGTTTCATGGGTTATAACTACAGGAGGTATGTACTCTAAATCTCTCCAGAATTTACTCACTGTTCTGCTTGGCTTGGGAGCTGCACTGTTGCCGCTTGTTTTCACCCCACTGTCTGCTCTTTACAGCTTCTGTCAGATTAAAAACAGGTCATGGCTACTCCAAGTTTAACATTGTGCATAATGAAAAGAGCTAATTTAGGTGTCTCGCCTCAGCTTCTAACTTTCTGGCTTTCTGATCCTGGCCACTGACATACATTTTAACCTTGGTTTTCACCATCTGTATCTGAACTTTTATTTCTTTGGCGTTCTGCACAATCTCCTCAGGTGGACGAGTTAAGACCTGGAAAAGACGATGGTTCATTCTCACTGACAACTGTCTTTATTACTTTGAATACACCACTGTAAGTTACTCCTGTTTTACTGCATAATGAAGTAGAAACACTACATTTCAGCTTTACTTCGAACTAAAGGTCTAATTAATGGGCAATCTCTGCTTTTTCTAAGGATAAAGAACCCAGAGGAATTATTCCTTTGGAAAATTTAAGTATAAGAGAAGTGGATGACTCCAAGAAACCGGTAAAAAAAAAGTTTGTTCTTTCTGATACATTTTTCTGCAGTTTTTTGAAGTTCAGTGTTGATGCATGACAGAGAGAAACATAAACTCTTTCATTTTAATAAATGTATACTCACTTATTTTAACATGGAACAGAAAAAGATACAGAAATTCTATTGAAAAATTCGAGATAGAGATAGGTTCCAAGGCCTGCCGTGAGAACTAAATTTCCACAGTTTTCAAAAACCTGCAAAGTCGTGAACCTGCAAAAGATGAACCGTGAAATAGTGAGGGATTACTGTATAGACATTTCCATATGTTTTTTTCATCTCTACGTGTATTCTTTTCTATATACATTTAAAAAGGGTGAAGCATATACTGTACTATTCTGGAAACAGTAAAGTTCCTATTAGAATGCCAGGGTTTTCCTCATGACCTCCAGAAGTTGCAGCTGAGCTGACCTTTGGGTGGGCTAATCTGTTGGCTCTGCAGTGACGTCTCTATGAACTTTTTCAGTCTAACAACAGAACCTTTGTATTCACTGCTGGTCACTGCTTCAATCTTGGTAAGGTAATCTTCTCTCAGAAGGAGGAGAAGTTTCCAGAACTGGTTCTGATACTGTTTCATCAAAGCATTCCCACAAACTTCCAGGAAGTCCAACAGCAATGTTGCTGTGATTTCAAGCTGAGGTTCCATGTTGAGCATCTGAGCCAACCAGCGCCATCCTTGGTCCAAACCATGATGAAGTGATTTGTGGGTGGAGCCGTCAGGCCACTGAAGCTGCATAATGGCAGCATACAGACGAATCATTCCGGACATCCTCTTCAAGAAGCAGTCCTGACTTTCCACCCCAGAGTCGTACACACGGTAGCCAAGCATCCTCTGATAGTCCTCTGCTGATGTCCCCTCAGGCCGCTCAGGATAATGTGGGACTGCAAATGGACATTTCTTATGGAGATGAGCAAGAATGAGAGTTCCTACCTGAGGATGACGCTCCCACACGCCACAGGCCACAGCAGCAATGGGGAACGCAGCCTCGTGGTGCAGCGCCACCTCCTCTTCTCCCTGTTTGACGAACTTCTCAGCCAGTTTGTAGCTGACAAAGTTGAGCCCCTGAGGATGCTGGGTGGTTGACACCCACCTCCCGCCGGTTACCACCTCCTTTCCTGACAGCAGATTGTCCAGCTTGTCAAAGAGTTCTCTGAGCTGTGATCCAGAGTTTCTGGCAATTTGACTGATTGGGATGGTTGCTGCTTTTTGAAGTTCTGTTTTCAACAACTTTGTGGTGGCATCTTTTGGGGACGAAAGTTCTCTGAAGGACTGTGTGAAGTGAGCAGCTGATTCCTGCAGTTCCTGAGACCAGGCCAAAGTGTTTTCTTTAGCATGTGTGTGCAAGTCATTCCTCTCTGATTCCTCTATCGTTTCATGTTGAACCCCTGTGGTATTTACCTCATGCAGATCAAGCCCAGTCATGTCAGCTGCACTGGGGTAGTCTCTGTCTGTGGTCTCCTGGACCACCTCTGATATTCTAGAATGCTGTTGGTGACCATAGGTGTTGGAGGAGCTGAAGCTAGTTGAGGGGATGTTTTCAGACTCCTCAGTAGGTCTAAATGGCAGGACTTCCGTGTTTGTGGTGTCCAGGAGACAGGAACTCTGATTGGCTGACACCAGCCACGACAGCTCTGCCTGTATCACCTCCAGTTTGACCATCTTCTCTCTCTGCTGGGGCATTTCACTTTGTTTTCTTTTACACGGAGCCCTAGTTTGGTCCCTAAAATTCTGGACATTCTGTCGCTGCTGTTCGTCCATGAGCGTCTCCGGCCCTAGACTCTCAGCTGCCGGCTGTCTGCCCAGCATCATCTCTGCCTTTGCTCGCCGCTCTTTTTCAAACTCCATCATGCTCCTGGATACCGCAGCAACCCTGAACGGCGAAGAGGCGAGTGTCCTGGGTGTAGTGTTGACAACTCCACGGACATCTGCGGAGTTTGGCGGCGACCCCGTGGACGGTCCGCTTTGAATCTCGTTCATGTCATGATCGGAGGCGGCAGTGTTTACGTTCAATCCTGGGCACGTGCCCTCTGACACCTCGGTATATCCGCCGGGACGCAGCAGCTCGACTTCGCCGGGCGAGGAGACGGTTGTGGGCTCTCTGTAACCGGCCATGATGTCCTCGCCTCTCCTGGCCCAGTACGGGTCGAAGGTGATTTTACCCTTGGCTGAATTTCTTAAAGCCTCCAAAGTTTCCCACCGCACCTCAAACCCAGGCATATTGAGAGGTGACGAGTGTTGTTGTGCTTGTTGTTGTTGCTGTTTTCTATCGCAACTGTGGTCCGTTCGTAACGGCGATTAACGGTAAACAGTTAACATGTGACGTCACAGCGGACATCAAAGCCACAGCTCTGGCATTTAAATTTCAAACTTGTTACTGCGCATAAGTGCTTTACTGTCGTGGAAGAATACAAATGTTTGCCAAGCAGAAAAGAAGTCCTTTAGGAATATGCAAATATTCCAGTTTTGACATTTCTGTAGTTCATTTACATGAATACTCATATATTTGTTTCAGCATTTTGAGTCATTGCATTGATTTTCATTCTGATGTGCACCGAGTCATAACAAAGCGATAGACCATGTGTGTGTGTCAACCTATAAGACTATAAGTTACTAATTCAGTCCTCACACTGTGATGAAATATAGTGTTGCACTACAAAATGCTGTTTTCGTGAGAACTGTACCTGTCCTAAACATGACAGAATCTGACTCCTCACATATTTGCCACTCTTTCATCAGAACTGTTTTGAGCTCTTCATCCCCAACCACAAAGATCAGGTGATTAAGGCGTGTAAGACGGAGGCAGACGGCCGTGTGGTGGAAGGAAACCACACCGTTTACAGAATCTCTGCTCCGACCACAGAGGAGAAGGACGAGTGGATGAACAGCATCAAGTGAGTCTGTTTGTCCTGCAGAAAGGACTACACCTGTTCTTATTAACAGCTGCTGAGGTTACTTTTACACTAAAGTTTATTCAGTGCAGACTACTGCAGTACTACTGTATATCTGTCTGATGCAACTTGCTGCTGTTTATCCTGCTGGCTGTAGACCATTGATTTGATAAACCAAATGTTTGTGTTGGATGTTTTTAATAAGTTCACAGTTAGAGTCACATGGAAGTCTAATGTGAAACATACCATATTCTGGCAGCACACAGACACAAATATACCTCCAAGCACATATTAGTCCAAAAGCTACTGCAGTGCACCCTGACACCCAAAGTGCATTTGTTACAAAAATAGCTCTTACATTTACCTGGAAAAATGTCCATCTAACCTTCTTTCTGCTCCACCACACAGAGCTGCTATCAGCAAAGACCCGTTCTACGAGATGCTGGCAGCTCGGAAGAAGAAGGTCTCGTCTCTGAAGGGTCTTTAGAGCTGCCGGAAGGTAACGATATGAACAACAGGCAGAGCTTTGACTTCTGTTTGGAGGACACTGGGCATAGACATAAACTGGTGCAGAGACAGAGTGGACCTAACCTTCAAAGGCGACCTCGGTCAGACGCTGTCCTTACAGGTTTAATTTAATGTTGAATGTTTAATGTCCCCTCTACAGATAAAAGGACCTTCTCACAAAGCTGTAAACTGGCTGTGACCTTTAGAAGAGTTTGTACAGAGCCTTAAACACATCACAGTGAGACTGTTACAGTGCTGGACAGTTACAGTATGAGCCTCGTACTGAAGTTTACTTCATATACATATCTGACAACGTATTTGCAGCTAAGGCCTTTGTTTCTCGCAGGTGTGGACGCAACAACTCTTTGCTGAACCAAACTGAAGACATGTTAAAAACAGAAACGTCCTCAGTTTGGTTTCAGCGTGCGTCCACGTCTGTGCCTCTGGTTTCTGCTCTTTTCTGTTTTTCTTTTTACTTTGGTGTCATTGAAGCTTCTCTTTCCTAAGGCTGTTTTCTTACTGCTGTTGCTCATTTGTCTAAGCACTGTCAATGGAAATGAAGGCAATATTTATATATCCACATTTCTTATTTATTGTTTCAGTTTTGTTCTATTAAATACTTGCAGATTAGAAACTTGTGTATTTTCTTTTGTTTTCCTCCTTATCAGCACCCTAAGTTGTTTCCATGTTTGTGTCAGGCTCACATGTACTAATCATATATTTTCTTTAACATAAACATTTTTGTTTCTGTTTTTGTGATATGAATAGGAAAGATTCTCTTTGGAAACTATCTAAACTAGCGCACTTTGGTCCGGAAGGTTTCAGGTTTGACTGCCAAGTTACCACTGGGGTGTACTGAGCATAGCACTGTCCCCACACACTGCTCCCCAGGTGGTTAAGCTGACCCTTAAGTCACTTTGGTGATGGGTTAAAAGCAGAGGTCACGTTTTGTTGTGTGGGTGGTGGTGTGCTCTGTCAATGACAAATAATTCACTTTCAACAGTCCTCTAAAAAAGTGTCTTGAATTATAATAATTATTTTAGAAATGTACGGCACTTACATGAAAGAGTCAGACATTTGGAGTGATTTAAAAACAACTGCAACCTTTAATTTAAACAGTTAATGACATAGTCACTGTGCAGTTTAATTACTGCAGTGGGCAAGGTTATAAACACACCCAGGAACCTCTTAAAACTATCATCAAGGCTCGTCTTCGTCACTCACTGATGAAGGCTGTCGCCTCCACACATGTCCACCACCTACCTGTAGAGATGGACATGCAGTAGATGGGGCTGTTTGTATGTGGCATGGTGTGACTACAGCAGCTGCTCGTACAAAAACACAACAGCACAGTACGGAAATGCAGAGTATGAGGGATTCCACTCCACACACATCTGCTGCTGTGAGTCACTGATAAATGTGGTGAGAAGGTCCTTCATGTAGTCCTGGTCCTGGAGCAGACCGACCTTCATGGAGTCCTTCACTGTGGGATCGCAGTCTCCTACAAAACAAAATACAAAAAAAACAAATGGCTGGATTAATATAAGGTCAGATTTTATTTAATTTTTTCAAAAAATTGAACTAAACTAAAACTAAAGTAAGTATTTTACATATTTTCTTAATATGAATTATTTACTGATAGACTTTCAAGTCATACTGTTCTCATTAGAATCGAAAAAGGGTATTTTATTCCCCATCAAAATTTAAATTTCTCTTCATAAAGTAAAACCCTTTATAGTGGGTTATTAAACGGTAGTTTAAGGTAATATGGGGTCATTTCGCCTTCAGTCATATTTTGACCCATCAAATGAGAAGTTTCCAGTTCCAACACAAGAGGGCAGTGTGGTTCATCACAACGACACGGGTCCCTGCCTGCTGATACTGCTGCGATGACACGGGTCAGAGCAGACCTTTTAACCATTTAGCTCGTCTGTGTACAGACCCTGGCTCAGCTCCAGACTGTTTTCACCTGCTTCTAACAATAGAAAAACACTGTGTCCTTTTAGACCGAAATGCTTTTGTCCCAGCGACGTGTTTTGTTTTTTCCTCTGGCAGGAAAAAGGTGGAGATAAGCAGTAAACGTGCAGTTATCACAGCAGCAGACAGATAGAAAACCTGAGTGAGAATGGACAAACACTCAGAGAACAACATCCAAGGTCAGTTAAGGGTTAGACGGTTATTTATTTATTTATTTTATGGGTGATAATGAGCTGTTATAAAGTAACAAAAGATCAATTTATATAACTTGTAAAAAAAATTACAGACTTCACAATCACAAAACAGGAAGTCCAAACCTGATAAAGCCCTACCAGGAATCTGAGGGACTACAGCCATAAATACCTGCCTTCACCCAATGTTATCACAGGTATGTCTGGAAACACATTAGCAGTTATCTAGCTGCTTATCAACATGTTAATTAATATAATTATTTTTTCTTTGTCCTTATGAAGCAGTTATGGCAATGGTTTATATAAAAGTGTTGTTTCATTTTGACAGTAAATGATGCGTTTAGTGGTTTGAGTAAAGTTCAAAACCAGTCATCCTGACCTTTGGGTTTCTAGGTCACCCTAAGTGCCATCATTGGCCAACTGTTTCCAGTTACTGAGATGAGACATCTTCACCAAAATGCAATATTTAAGCATTGACTTAATCTAGTGTTTCTCAAAAAATGGGTAGCAACCTGCGCATAGGACAGAGGAGATTCTCAAAACAAAAAAAGACGAAGGCAGTTCAACAACTACTTATGAATGGTGGGGTTTTTTTAAAAGAAAAAAAGGTCAGCTTTAGAAACCTATTATTAAAACATCTGTGACAATGGATCTAATAGTAAGAGTGATTGTGTTTCTTTTGCTAGTTTCTCCTGGTTGTTCTTCCTTCGTATTAAGAATTTCAATCCCATGTTCACTGTAATATAGAATAACATGGTCCAGTGCAAAGGTTTGTCAAAATGTTTTTACAGCTTGAACAGCAGAGCTCTGTGGCTTTGGCTGCACACTTGTTAGCACTGGATGACTGAGTGAATGAATGATTTATTGGTGGACTGGGTCTTTAAGGGGGATTTGCTGGACAGTGAAGGAAAAATATATTTAAAGTACAGGGATAAAGCAAAGCAAGAAACATTCCCTAAGATACTTCAGATGCATACGGAACACTGCCAAGGTTACGTTTAACTTTTAAATTCTAGACACCCACATGTTACAGTTTAGAGACAAAACATCACTGATTTAAGGTCAACCAATGGTCTTTCATGACCTTCTACAGGGCGTTTGTATCACATGTCCCTTATGATTCAAATCAAGTCGGTCAAAACTGCTGCCATCTGCTGATTTGTACGTGCCATGTACGTACACACAATTAAATCAATTTCCCATGTGGAAGATTTGAACTAACTGTTTCATTTCCTTTTTTTTGTTAAAGGTTAAAGGTTAAAGATTAAAGATGGTGAAGAGTACTTTGGTAGGGCCAACAGAATGTGGGTCCAGGATGTGCTGCTACCATAGGGTTTGTACTAATGTTATTGACAAGATCAAGCATTTTAAACAGTCACACTGTTCTCAGTTTCTCAGTTTGTGCTTCAACATCAGGTCAATGCAATATTTTGGTTGTTTTGTGAATTCCTTGTTGTGGTTAAACTTGTTTTCCCCATGGACAAACAAGAACTACATTTAGCTTTGGAGTGTAGTGACTGTGGTGGAGGTGGTGGCCCAGTGTGGTCAATCACCAACAGCCGACGGTGGTGACAGTATGGCTAGTTGGCTAAATATAGTACAAAGCTACGTAGTTGTGTGGCGCTGTATACCTAAAAATGTTTAATTATTTCACTTTAATAAGCTTTAGAGCTTATTTCTTACCGGTAAAAATATAACAATTTATTTCTACAGCAATGTCTTGGTTAAGCTAATTTAATCCTTTCATCTGGACGTTAAAAGAGAAGCTGTGTATTGTTTAAATTGTTCTACTGCCACCTACTGAAAAGGTTAGCATCTGAGATAACTACTGTACTTTAAAATCAAATGAAATGTATTTTATTATGAGGAAAACTTCTTTAGGCTGTTGTGTTATGACATCATTGTTATTGTTATCATTATTATTGGAAGGGTCTAAACTACCCAACTTTTATCAATGGGAAACAACACTTTGGGCCGTTTGGTTTCGTTCCCCGTTAAAAACTTTGAGTTGCAGGCTGTTGGTATCAGTGTCAGTGAAACACAGCAGTTTGTAATTCAAGCTGACAGTCTGTGTGTCAGTGACAATGAAGAGGCTCCTGTTTCAGGATTTCCAGCACCTGATCGCAGAGGCGCCTGCATGTTTTCATCATCCTGGCAGACAGAGACAGGAGGATTACCAAAAGTCTTCTTACCATTTTTCAGCTTATATTTAAGTTTGCAAATCACAGTTATGAGAATCAGTCTGACCTTTGCCGCAAATGAACAACAGCCAGCCTCGGAAATCATGCTAGAGTCGTTAATGACTGTTTTCTTTTTGGCAGCAAATCACTCACTTTTTTTCCCTCCCGACTCCAGGTAGTGATAAGACACCACCCATTTACCGTCACTATCCAGCCTGTGACATTTCCTGTTCTCAGAAACTAAAAAAAAGAAAACACAGCTCAGCATTTCTCACTCAATCTGAGATCCTGACAGCTTTTTTTTTTTACATATTTGTTTCAGAAAAAAACCTAAGTGAGAAGTTCTCATGTCTGAAACTCTGTCTCTGCAGAGAACTGAAGAACACTTCAGTTCTCCCTCTCTGACCTCACCTCACCATGTCCTGACAAGAGTCAGGGAAACACAGACCACACTGACAGATCACGGCGGCTCTGACTCAGACCTCCTCGACACCAGTGAATCAGCCGACATGCTGTCCCCACTCACAGCCCTGACTGCGGCTGCTGGGAAGACGGAGATGGGACCTTTGATTTACGAGCTGCCGCAATGATTGGAGACATTTTTTAAGAAGCCACAGCTTCTTTTAGTGTGTGTGAATTCAGGCATGTATTTGTCTACCAAGCAGAAATAACAAAATCTAAATAACAAAGCTGAAATCCACACAACCTTGGTGTTTAAACTTCTCCTGAAAAATATGTTTTTCTCTTATTGGATTATTTTGGGAACATCCACATTCTAAATGGCTTCATACTCATATGTTTGAACCCAAATTCTATCAGCAATTCAACCAGGTTACTTTTGGTGGATTCAGTTGTTGATTGATGATTCTGTTGTATATTATTAGGCGCTGTTTCTTGTATATCTAGTGTTAAGACTAGTTAAATGTTTTAATACTAGTTATTATGAACATTATTACTAAAGTTATACTTTGTTGTCTCTGTTTCTGATCAGGAAAAACATATTCAGCTTGAAGATTCAGCTGTATTTAATGAGGATATCAGAGTTTCTGGAGGGCAGAGCAGTTTTTTTTTTGTTTGCATATTTTTGCTGATACTTAGAGTCAGGCTGATAAGAGTAGGAAGAGCCTCGGGCCAAAAACCAACAAACCAAAAACTCTCAGGGACAATCTTAATTTTGTTAATTTTTTTTACAGTGCATTTGTGTCTGTGTGTTTGCACCTGGTGGCACCTCAGAAGAAATTCTTGATGAAAGGAGTGACCAGTTTGACCCACAGCTTGACGTGGCGGTCCGGCTGGTCAAATGTGGAGTTGTCTACCCCCGTGGATCGTTGGTACAACATCTCCTGCTCCTGCGAAAGACACAGGTGTGTGCAGTTCAGAGTTAGTCATCCAGCCATCATCGTTATTTTTCACTGTGGCTGACTAAGAAGGAGAAAGAGCCAACCTCCTGCAGCTGACTCTGCAGCTCCTTGTTTGCTGTAACTATGGCAATTTGGGCCTCCAGGTCACGGTGAACTGAGCGGTAACCAAAATTTGGGGAGCCAATTAGAGTGAGGCAAGGTCGCTCCTGCCCCTGGAGGTAATACCACAGACCTGCAGGAGAGAAAACTCAGTGAAAAAGAAGCAGGGAGCAGGGAAGCAGTCGCCCTGACCACAACTGAGAGGAAGCCCAAGCAGAAATCCCCAGCATGGATCCAAAACCCTAAAGAATGAGAAAAACTGAGTGTTCATCCTTGCCCTGAGGCTATGACGGAATGACGAGCCATCTTTTCTCACGCTTCATACCACGTTAACCACAAGAAGGAGGAGCTGAGCACAGTCAGAGTTTGGTGTTTTTATTTGTTTTTACATTACGTTTGAATTCACAAAACATCGGGTCAAGTCCTTTAAAGGAAAGTCACAGTTTGGTTTATGTCCATTTATTAACTGTCACTGGCTGTAGAGCAGGAATACTTAAACTGATGTCCATGACCTTTAAGGTTCAGGAGGAGCACACTGAGAGAAACACTGATTAACTTGTTGAAATGTCACAGATAAACTAGTGGAACCAGTACGTGCTCAGTGACTGCCTTTCATTATGTCAAAATGTGTCTGCCAACAAAACACACACATAATTGACCAGGAAACAGAAATTAGTAGTCTAAATACAAAGACTACTAAATTAGATTACAACATGTACCGTACTCACACTGTTGTGATTTATGACACATGCATTTTATCCCTGGATAAATACAAACATACTGAGACACATTCAAACCTGAGCTGGGACGCATTTCAACATCAGTTCAGACTAAGCAGCGACCATTGTTTTGGGAACTTTTGTTTTTCTCACCTTTGGCGTGGAAGGTCCACTGTGTTCTGTGGTACTCATGCAGGTGGACCCTCTCCTGTTGGCCCATCTGGCAAACCCGGTCATAAAACTGCCTGGCGATGTGAATGTACGCAACGGGAATGGCTCCAGCCACACCTTTGGCACCGAAGAACCCGTTGACCTCTGGGGAGGCGGTGAGGATGCGGTAGCTGGCTCCAGCCCCAAGCACCAACCGCATGTACGCCTGGGTCAGGTTGAAGTAGCCCGATGTTAGAAAAACAGTGGAGTCTGGTTCGGCGTCTCTCAACAAACGCTGAAAAGTCAACATGAGACAGGAGTTGAAGAAAGACAAGTTAAAGATGTGAAGAAAAAAAAAAGACTGGTCGTTTTAGAACTGTGAAGCTAAGAGACTTCCTCAATCATTCGTTTCATAACTGCTCCGCTTCAGCACTGGTTTCTCACCTGTGTGACCTGCTCGTCCATCTGGATGCCCAGAGGTTTCATCTGCACCAGAGGAAACACCCAAGTGTCCTCCTCCCCCTCACTCATCCTGTCGTCCTCAGAGTCTTCTGACTGGATCAGCAGCTGCTGCCTGGTGTGGGCTGTGTTCATGACCTCCATGATGCGCTCCCGTGCCACTGATGAGAAATCCTGCCTGTTGCCTTGTCGTTCAAGAGCCAGAAAATGGGAGAATACACGTAAGTAAAGCCAAGGGGGAATCAATGGGTCAGAATGACTTGTAGGTCACAGTGTCCTCCACTCCCACTGTGTTTACTGGTATCAAAGTCAGGCCTGATTACAGTTAAGAATAAATCTTAAGTCACAACTGTTTATATACATGTGATTCACAAGTTAATTTTCTGAATCCATCATCATTTTCATCAAGGAATTTTCTTTTGTCAGTTACAGTAACTAAAACTTTAGGATGTACAGATACACTGATTATAATAACAATTATTCACAAATAATACTGAGATTTCTCTTTGGGCAAAGAACTAGAGGGTCTTGCCAACTAAAGACTAGCAAAAAAAGACAAAGTAAAAACAAAACAAAAAAAAGATAAAGAGGAATAAAGTATATGTAGGAAAGACCTTGAATGGTCAGAAACCAATCAAATGTCCAGTACAGCTCTGTCTTTTGTCACGTCAACCCTGGATGTTGCCGTGGGGGTGTTTGTGTGCGTGCATGCACACTTCCCACTAAATATCGTCTTCCAGTAGCACCGTGACATCACAACTCTATTCCTGGTGAGGTTCAGTCCTGCAGACATGATGTCATTCATCCCTCAAATGAACATCCTGGCAGTGTGTGCTCGAGTTACTGACACACTCCACCAGTGTGTGTGTGTGTGTGTGTGTGTGCAGAGAAGAATACTGACAATTTCATATCCGGCTCATGGCTACCCAACCACAAGAGAGTGTGTGATCTTTCCAACTCTGCGGACACACGCGAAAAAAAAAAACAACATAATTTATCTGCCTGTCTAAGCTTTCAAGCTCCATTAGCGAAATCCATCGGCTCCTCTTGCAAAAAACTGGGGTGATGCCACCGAAACTGACAATGAAGTGTCAAAACATGTTGGGGTAAACATGGACTCGCACACAAATACTTACACACTCACAGTGTTCGATTTCATACCATTGTACGGGTGCACCATGCCCTCCATCATGGTGACCGAGTCGTCGGGCTTCAGCTGCAGGGAGACGTCTCCCACAGCCTCCACCAGCTCAGAGAAGAAGTCAGCCACTTCTCTGCAGTTCTCCAGCAGCACGTAGCGGTCCTGCCTGTTGGTGAAGTACGAGTCGCTGAGGTTGGCCCTTCAACGTGCAAGAGAGGGAAAGATTTAGACCAAGTCTTACTTTACGTACACACATCTGCTGGTCCTTTTACCAGGGGTCTACACAGCAGTGGTCCACCCAGGAATCTGACTGAATTTTCACGCCAAATGACCTTCCTGACACCATGCAATTGGGATGGGGGTATTGAACCAGGAATCTTTGCATGGCAGGAGGAAATCCTTCTACTGTGCCACTTCAGCCCACAACATTCACCTTTAACCACAGTAACAAGTGTAAATAATAGAAGGAAGTGCAGCTGCTGTAACACAATTTGGCAATGAACTCTTTCAATACAGATTCAAGTAAATGTCTACAATAATGTGATGTCATCCTTCTAAAACAAACAGCATATGATGCATTAGTCTTGAAAAGCTTAGTTTTAAAAAACAAAACAGATTTTTAAAAACTGTACAGCTTTATATAACTCATTCTCTAGTTCACCCGTTTGATCCAAATTTAAACTGCACTCCATCGCCTTATAAATTGATATCAATCCTGTGACAGTCGGGTCGACGTAGGAGTCAGTTTTCTATAAAAGCATTTTATCTGCTCTGATGAAACTGCAGGATGTGCTCTTGTCGTGAGAGGGAAGAGAACACTGTTCCAGGAATCCCTGCAGCTTCACTAATGCAGAAACAGATGATGAAGTTGATCATCTGTCAACTGCCATGGTGGAAGACTCAGCACATGAGCAGGCAGGGGGTCAGCAGAGCTGAGCTATTTCAAGGTGGACTATGTACAGCAGCAATTTACAAAGAGAAAACCTATGTAACCACCATTGTCCTTTTGTGTATGGTCTCTGTTTAACTTCCCTTTTATGTAATGCTGTTTCTTGCTCTGAATAATAATGCCTTGTAACAATAAGTGACAGGAATGCAACTCAAACAAGCACGGTGTAGGATGGAGGAGTGGGAGGAAGGGGGCGTACCGGGCTAAATCCATTTAGCTTGTTATACAGTCAGATTAACATGTCTGCATTTCAGCAGTTTTTATTAAACATCATATTCTCTTCTTCCAGCATCTACCCAACGTGCGTCATGCACAGAAACATCTGGGAAAGTTTAGTGCATGCGTGACCAAAACATGTTGAGGACCAAGCAGAGGGCAGATATATGGACACAGCGTTGGTGAAACAGGACAAATTTGAAGCGTCAACTACAGGTATGTCATCCGGAGATTTATTCAAAGATTGGCAGATGACGCTATCTAATGAACTAATTATGGGGTTTAAAAAGGCGAAACCGTTCATTAAAACATTGTTTAAAAAAAATAAAATTTGAGCCTTATAAAATGGAAAAGAATTCTAGACATTGTAATTGGATTTTAAGTGACTAATTTAACTTCACTGTGTGACTTAAATCTAGTGAACACGCTGCACTAATCTCATCCCTAAAACCAGGTTTTATTCTCATCTTGCTTGAGTTTTGCTTTATTTTGAAATGAATATATATTTTTCAATAGTCTGTGATCTCTTCTTCGCTAACAAAAAGCACACGCACACTTAAATGTTTGTTCTTCACACAAGCTGCATCATTAACATCAATGCAGTGTCGTGTTAACGTGAGTCTCTGAAGGGCACAGTGTCCATTCAGCTTAGAGCACACCCACTCTGCTCTTAGTGAGCCTATGTCGAAACTCTGAGGACATTTCCGAGCAGTAACAGTGAACACCTGCGGTGGGATTACGCAAAAGCTACGAATAAAATGGAATGAGATTAACCGAGAGTGAAAGCAGACAGGCTGAGGAGGCGCAGGAGGGATTTCTCCTGCTAACGAGAACCATACCCGCTAATGATGACGCTGTCATCGAACAAGTAGACTTTGATGTGCTGGACTCCGATGGTCTCATTGAAGCGCTGAGGGACCAACAGTCGCAGTAAACCGCGCAGGTCTGGAGTATGGTACAGAGAGACTCGCATCTGAGAAGTGAAGCGCTGCAGCAGAGGCAGCAGCATGGTCCTCGAATTGACCTGACCTGAGGGTTAGACATTACAACAAGACGTGATCAAGGCGACAAGATGACAAGAATAGTTTTTCTTTTTTTAATTTAAAAGAACAAAGGCAACAACCTCTCGATCCACGGGTATAGTCCAAAAGTATGGACACCTTTAGGTCAGGAGAGCGACTGTGGTCCTGTGACTGTTGAAGAGCCTCTTCTATACACTCTACCTAAACAGAGGAAAAACATACAAACATTCTGAGCAATAAATATAATAAAAAATACCCCTGAGGAATCAGAAGGCCCTGGTTAAAAATCTGATTCCTCATACTATGTTTCAAGCAGTGTATTATTTTCACTCGTGCAGGAAGGCATATGTCAACATCAATAATCCGTCCGAATGTTTTCCTGTTCTCTAGAGTCTCGCGTTCACGTCTCATTTCTTTTACATTTTTCCAAGAAAAAACTCACACACTGAGGTTTGTGAATTATGTCAAACTGTTGAAGAAATTACATATTGGCAATTTTTGTGCAGATCTTTAGAAATGGGCAGTTGACTGATTATTTCACTGTTTTTTTTTCATCTCTAAATTCACAATTTTTTTCATTTATTTTTTCAATATGACTGTAGATTAGTTTATTTAACATCTGTTTATTGAGGTGTAACTACTTCTTCTCCTCTTTGATATCAAACCAACACTTGTGAAAACGTGCAGTCTGAGAATTCTTCATCTGGAGCCCAAATGCATTACACGTCATCCTCGGAGGGCATGTTTACATGCCAGTAAAACATTTCTTCTTTCCAGTACGGAGCTCTTTGGGGATCTCTGCATTCTTCAGAAGCTAATCAGACAATGAGTGACGGCACTCGTGAGAGGTGGTTTCTCTTTCAGAGCAGGGAAACAGCATTTGGTCATCACGCCGGGTCTATGAGTGAAACTAACAGTCAGTACTAAGCGTTATTGTTCTTCTGAATGAATCTCCAGGAGCAGAAGCCTCAAGGCCAGATGTGAGACTTCATGTGATTGTTTGAGCTGCTTGAAGTAACTGTTTGAGTTTACAACAAGGCCATGAAGCAGTGAATAACAAATTGCTATTTATTATTACAATTCACATTTGGGAAGCTGTGGATACATTTAAAAAATAATTGACAAAGAAACTAATTGATATTCAAGCAGTTTGATTTACTGTCAGGAAACATTGACAGTAGCTGCAACTAGATAGTGATCAGATGATACTGTATTTGGATTGGTTGATGGATTTAGATTGGCTATCAAAGCAAAAACAGTTTCAGCCTTTTTGTGAAAAAATAATTTTTAAATGAATCTTACATTTCTTTATTTGATTATGTTAAGGATTCCAGGCAGGATGAGAATCCAAGCAACCTGACAAACTGCAATATTTACATTTACTACACCCCACTTATTTTGCGGTTGGTTCCTTTTTCCAAGTTGTTAAAGTGAATGTAAAAAACAGAAGGTCATTCAGAAGGACAATATGAAAAGGATGATTTATGAATAAGTTGGCCCCAGTTGGCCCAGGATGGCTGGAAATCATGTCATGTTGTTACACTGCATGTGGTTGCTGACAATTCTTGCAGAGGTAAGCACATTTTTATGTCCTTAAAGATTTTTCCCAGGACCTTTAGCTTCATTGTTAGCCTTATTTTTTTACAGTATATCCACTCCATTTATTGAATAATTGTCTTTTCCCAGCACCTTTACCACTGCCACCTCCTGTTTAGCCTCCTGTTTTCTGACAGGGCCACTATCACTGCTGCTATCCTGCAGTCACGTGTCATTTCTAATCCCTTCTGCTCAAACCTGTCTGGACATAGTATTCAGCTCTTTTGTCCAGCGTCCATATCGCTTGCTCTACAGATCACATCTTTACTATGTACTGTTGTACATCGCTTGCTCTACAGATCACATCTTTAATATGTTTAATATGTGCTGCTACATGAACATGTTGCTTTTACTTTATAAATATGAGCATTACTGGTTCACTTCAAATGGGAAATCTGCAATTTAGTCTCAAATCGGAAACCTCCTTTGTTTACAGTTTAGGTTCTTCGTTGTCTTGCCTTTTGATGCAGCAGAATTACATTCCTTGGTACTTGCTGCTTTGCATAAAGACAAAAGGTGTCAGTAACCCAGTAACTAGGGTGTTTTCTTTACATTCTCTGGGTGTGTCTGTTTCCACTTTCCCATAACTGGTGGTCAAAAAATAACAGTGCCATAATCTTTAATTTTTTGTACATACAGTATAACACCCTGATCTACTCTGACATATGTCAACCTCAAGACAAATACTACTTAAAGCCTTCTGATTATTCTCCAGGGCTGGACTTGCACTGGAGTAAATATGCTGAGCAGGTGTGACTGTTTGCTTTTATTTGTGCCTGGATCCCAGGCTTCAGAGTGAAACCATACCTGCTGCTGACATTCTTCCATTTAAACCACACAATGTTCACATTCTTCGGATGAATGCAGTACTTCATTGTGGCCGTATAGAGCAAAAAACAACGTTCACATGAACTCAGATGCTTTAATCTGTATTTTAACATGAGGAACGTGTCTTCCTCTCACTCGCCCTCTGCTGCTGCTGTTGTACCAGGCTAAAAAAAAAAACGCTAGCTGAATACGAGCATCGGCCCAGACTGTGGTTTGCTCTGTGTTTACGTTGTTATGCTAGGCCTTCCAACCATGAAGAACAGTGGGCTATCACATGCCAGCTGTACCCATAAACCCTTGCATTTTTGGGTCTTTCCTTGTAGCTGGCCCAGAGAACAACAGACCAGTCTGTGGTTTTCTTGGAAGAAGTCTGACTCACATTTTCTGGCATCTCTGACCAGTTATTCGGCATGTGTCTGTGATACCATTGAATTGTTCTCACCTGTCCAATTCCATGTTACTGTAAAAAAAGAGACTACTACTGCTGTATATCTACTTCTTTGACAAGGAAAGGGCAGTTTTTTTTCCCCTCACCAGTTCCCGCTCCAGCTGCCCTGTTCCTAGGTAGAGAGAAGCCATCACCACTCGTCTCTTTGCTGTCTGAATTCGTGCCTGTAGTGAAAGTAGAAGCAATACCAGAGAATAAAATAACTGCAAAGAAAATTGTATAAATCTGACTAAAACAATGAATACATCTTACTTAGATGGGTTACTTAGATGGGTGATTGCTCACTGAATTAAAAAAAACAGCTTGGGACAGACATGTTTGAGCATGCATTTAAAGTGGTAAAACAGACCATGTTGCTACATACTTGTCAACTTGTACTAAACATTTTTTTTTCTTTGTTTTTTGCAATTTAAGAAAAAAAGGAAAAAAACATTTACAATTATATTTTAAATGTGTACCTTAAAAATGTCTAACACAGGGTTTTGTTTCCAATGACGCATTTGTCATTGATTTAATTTTTTCTGGTCAAAGAAAAACAAATGTCTAGGAGCAATCTAAAAATGCGAGTGTCATCAATCACTGATGACAATCTTTACAAAAGAGTGCTTGTGTGTTAATGAAAGAAAGTGATCTATTAATAGCACAAGGCCAAGGTATTCATCCTCTAGTTTTCCTTTATTATGAGTTATGAGGAAATGTCACTTTGTTCTTATAAAGAACATCTACTCACATACAGTATCTTGATCACCACCCATCCATCCATTCATTCATGGCGATAAATCCTCTCTTGACACAATAGGTCAATAGGTCAAGACATCATTATTGCTGCACATGCAATACCTTTACCCATTAATGATTGCCGGTTCTTGTTGTATTAGAGTCGTGTATGAACAGTTTCATTTATTAAAGGAAAAAAAACTTTGTTATGTTATTTCCTCATCATGATGACATTCAGGAAAATTTAATTAAGTTTAATTATTTTAACTGCTCTTCTTCATCCAGCCATTTATGGTTTGTGCAATCAAGTTCTGAACTTTTGATCTTTTATATGTACGTGCATGTCATCTTTTTAAATTAACCATTCGCCCAAGGAAATTTTGTTTTGGGAAAAACACTGACCTTCATGGCCTGATAGAACTGGTCCGGTGAGGTTAGAATGTGGATGTGAGTGCCAGGCACTCGGAACGCAGGTACCTGCTCTGCCATCCATTGAAAGTGGCTAGAGAGTCCTTGGGACCTGGCTGAATTTGGGGGTCTGAAAACCTGTCTTGGTGCCGTGTCAGCA